GTCGGACATGAATGATTGGGCCAAAGGCCGTCGGACATGAATGATTGGGCCTAAGGCTGTCGAACATGAATGATTGGGCCAAAGGTCGTCAGACATGAATGATTGGGCCAATGGCGACATGAATGATTGGGCCAAAGGCCATTGGAAATGAACGATTGGGCCAAAGGCCGTTAGACATGAATGCAAAGATGGGCCAAAGGCCGTTTGAATATGTCATTTGATATGTTGGAATACCGTGATGGGCCAAAGGCCGTTTGAATGAAAGGGATCATGATCATGAATATGAAATACGCATGGATATGAACATAAAGAGAATGGGCCCGAGGCCGTTTGATATGCCTGATATGTTTGAATTGGGCCCGAGGTCGTTCGATATGTTCGAATTGGACCAAAGGTCATTTCGTATAGATGGACCTGAGGTTGCATTGTTTTATATAAGAATTGGACCTGAGGTTGTTTTGCACATGGATATGATGTGTTGGACCTAAGGTCGTTCGATATGTTCGAATTGGACCAAAGGTCGTTTTGTATAGATGGACCTGAGGTCGCATTGTTTTATATAAGAATTGGACCTGAGGTTGTTTTGCACATGGATATGATGTGTTGGACCTAAGGTCATTTTGCTTTGTTGAGATTTGTAAATCTGGTGTGAGGCCGTCGGACATGAATGATTGGGCCTAAGGCTGTCGAACATGAATGATTGGGCCAAAGGTCGTCAGACATGAATGATTGGGCCAATGGCCGTTAGACATGAATGATTGGGCCAAAGGCCATTGGACATGAACGATTGGGCCAAAGGCCGTTAGACATGAATGCAAAGATGGGCCAAAGGCCGTTTGAATATGTCATTTGATATGTTGGAATACCGTGATGGGCCAAAGGCCGTTTGAATGAAAGGGATCATGATCATGAATATGAAATACGCATGGATATGAACATAAAGAGAATGGGCCTGAGGCCGTTTGATATGCCTGATATGTTTGAATTGGGCCCGAGGTCGTTCGATATGTTCGAATTGGACCAAAGGTCATTTCGTATAGATGGACCTGAGGTCGCATTGTTTTATATAAGAATTGGACCTGAGGTTGTTTTGCACATGGATATGATGTGTTGGACCTAAGGTCGTTCGATATGTTCGAATTGGACCAAAGGTCGTTTCGTATAGATGGACCTGAGGTCGCATTGTTTTATATAAGAATTGGACCTGAGGTTGTTTTATACATGGATATGATGTGTTGGACCTAAGGTCATTTTGCTTTGTTGAGATTTGTAAATCTGGTGTGAATGAGAATAGTGGTTCAAATATGTACATTGTAAGTATGATTCATTTATGAACGAATCTCATTCATTAACCTCTTTATTTTGATATTTTTCACTGGGCGTTAGCTCACTCTCATTTACATGTGTGTAGGTGAGAAAAGGGACGTTCAACCCCAGCCTTAGTGGAATTTTAGAAGGAACCCAAGTTTTGTGAAGTCAGCCCAGGTGCCTCACGCAAGAGGCTTTGTTTATGATCTTTTGCTATTTCTATTGGTCATGATAGACCGTCTATGTGTATAAGCTTTTGGTTTAGCTGACTATGTGTTTGAATGATCCTGGGTATACAAGATGTTAACTACTGATGTGTGGTGTGAGTTATTATTAAGTATATGTAAAATGTTTTGATATGCCACGTAAACATAGCTCATTGGACAAAATTTTTAAGTTTGCTTCTGCATCTGGCCCCATATTATTAATAATTAATCGATATCAGGTTTGAGGCCGTAGATAATCCCATGATTACTGGCCGGTTATGACTTTAATCTATTGGGGCGGGTTCAGGTCATGACAGAGTGGTATCAGAGCACGCGTTAATAACTCACACACTTGTCCAAATGAGCCATAACGTGTCTAGAAAAGACTTAAGATGCATCCATTTGATAAGTACATGATGTAAGCATTGAGAACATATGATTAAATGAGATATGAATTGTTGCACTGATGTGTACAACAAGTTTTGTTTTGTTATAATGCACGTGCATGAACATGCGAATCATGAAAAGTTGCTTATGTGCATTTGATTCTGCAATGGGTGTCTATGTGGAATATGAATATGGTTTAAGTGTATAATTACTTAGTAAGTGTTCAACACGCGATATCTGATAAGTATGCAATCATCTGTTATGTATGTGATTAATTGTGTCTTGACGACATGTAAAATGAGAATATAACAATGTGCCCATGTGCAAATGTACCTATGTGTATCTGTGTTTATTTCTATATTGGGCATTCCAGTATTTGGCATGGCTTAATAAGAGTTTGTGTAGATTATGGATAAAGCAAGGGCATACGAGTTGGCAGACTCTTCCACAGCCCGACTTGATAGACTGGGAAGAATAGTATAAGAAATGGCAGAGATCTTAAGACAACAACATCAGTTGCCGCCACGACAAGAACCTTTGCCACCACCAGCGTGAGAGCACCAAGTGAATGTGTTAGAAGTCACAAAATATGTTGAGGTGCTAGACCGAACACTGATGACCGAAGCTAAAATGAACCGATCTTCTGCATGGAAAAGCAAAAGACAAGGATTTTCCTAAAAAAAAAGGTCATTTAAAAAGCAAAATACGAGATCATCGCGCATTTCAAACTCTACAAGGAATACAGCACCGACATGTAATGAATGTGGTAAGAAACACCGAGGAGTTTGTTATCGAATTTCTGGGGCTTGTTATAGGTGTGGTAAAATGGACCATATGGTAAGGAACTGTCCCCGGACTGAGCAAAACGTGAATAGACCCGTTGTCTCAGCTGGATTCGTACCAATGGTGGGAACTGCTAATCAAGATAGAGTAATTACACTCGTCCCAGAAAGCCCTCAAAATACTGCAACCGTTATCCCAGGTATCTATACTATTTATAAACGAATGCCTATATGTTGACTGATTCTGGACTGGTACATGTGTACATCTTTGCTTGGGATATTATTTGATTCGATTTGACGCATTCTTTTGTATCTGATATATGTGTATCTAGATTGGTCAGACCCACAGGATCAATATCTTATTTATTGTATGTATCTGCCCCATTTAAGAAATTTGTGAAATACGTATTGGGATATTGATTGACTCTGTACATGCACACATACATCTAAACCTATGCTCAGGGTGATTTGTTATATTACTGTCTTCAATGACTAAACCATTGGAATTATGACTCTGTGATTGTGTAGCTGAGTTGAGCACCCCAAATAATGAACTCTATAAATTGCGAGATCATGTATTTTGATTGGTAGAAAATTGACTGGACTATGTGACTATACTAAGCTTGATTCGTAAACCTATGCTTTTGTGACTGATTTGGAAACTTTGCGTAACAAATCCTATACTATGTGCAACCGAAGAACTTTGTTCAATGTGTTACTATGCACCATGTATTTGCATATAAGACTTATTTGGGAACTGCTATATTGATTATAATACATACCTCCTGATATGAACAACTGCATGCATATACAACTACACATGAACTTATGTGGACAATGCCATATTGTACATGACCTAAAATACTTTGATATGAATAGTTGTGACGGGTGACTCTGATATGACTTTGAGAATTGATGAACTTATGACAGTTGTGAAACTATTAATCACATACATAACTATTGATGAACTTGATCAGGATCAAAATATTGAGAATTGACTATTGATGAACTTTGAGAATTGATCACAAAGTATTAATGAACTAAGTTCATCAATTATCAAGTTGATATCAAAAACTATTAATCAAAAAAAACTTGATATCAAAAAAAACTATTGATGAACTTTGAGAATTGACTCTGGAAAGTGGCTTTATTTAAATTTTGATCCTGATTAAGTTTTCAAAAAAAACTTGCAAGCACTTGCCTAATATAAAAATGTGAAAGCAAACGAATATGAAGATCAACGACATGCTCTTGTGAAGAAGAAATTCAAAAGTATTTTTAAGAATGGCAAACAAACACATTCATGATATTCCAAAAAAGATTGTTGCATTCTAGAGGATTGGAAATTCGAAGGACTTGAAGTTTGAGATGATGAAGCTTTTCGCCAACATCTACAGAGTTAAAAAATAATTTTAAGAATCCAAGAAAAATAAAAATTACTAAGAGAGGGTGTTGGAGAAATCGCATATTCTCAAATGTGTTAGAATTTTGATATTTGTTAACTCTTCTAATTCTACGAACTTGAAGTGTTTTTGACTACTCTAATTACCTGCGCATCTCCTTGAAATTCTTGTCGAAGAATGTCCCAAGCCTCCTTCGCTTTTGTTGCTTTCATGATTTTTAGAAAGATTGAGTCTGAGACACCTAGTTGGATTTTTGAAAGAGCTTCAGCATCCTTTTGTTGATTCTTCTTCAATTGGATCTTCTGAGATTCAGTCATGGTAGATTTTGCTCTTGGCTTGTACCTATTCTCTACTATATCCCACAAATCCATAAACAAAAATAGAGTTTTCATCTTCACACACCAAAAATCGTAGTTGTCACCATTAAACATTGGAATTGTGGCCATGGAGTCAAACTTCTCAATTTTTCTTTCTTCAACTTGCGCCTGATCTTAATTCCACAAGCCAACAATCCCAAATCAGCTACAAAACTAGGGAAGGATAAGCTCTTTATGCAGATTGAAATTTTCTCTCATTGGATTCCAGCATTACTTCAGGTGCTAATTTATACATGATTCTTCACATCTTGCCTTACAAGTTTACAAACATCAAATTAAACTATAGTTTACATAACTTAACCAGACATATCTATGGTTGAATCTGTTGACAAAGCTTGAACTATGAGTTGAAGTTTAAGTTTCTACAGAACTTTACTCCTAACCATGCTTTTAAATAACATATCCAGATGAAGATATTGTGTTGAGCAAGATAATTGATTTAGAGCTTAAAGATAAGGACATAATCTTTAATGAGGGGAAGGCTCAGCAATAAGCTACTGCTCATGGGAGTCTTGAGTGTATTATTTTTGTTTATCTATGAAGCTGTTATCTTGGAACATTAGGGGTTTGGGTAAACCTGAAAAGAAGGGAAGAATTAAAGGCCTATTAAAGGACAAGCATGTTGATATTGTTTTCTTTCAAGAGACTAAGAAAGCTGTGGACTCTGAAAATGCTGCTAGAAAGCTTTGGGGGTGCAGAAATATGGAATTCATGTCTGTGGATCCTGTAGGCTCTGTTGGTGGACTTCTATGCATATGGGACCCTTCAGTGTTCCAACTCTCTAGTTGATGCTGCAATAGGAGGTACATCTTACTTTTTGGCTCTTTGTATAATTCTTTTGATTGTGTTTTGATCAACATATATGCACCAAATAACACCAATGCTAGATCATCTTTATGGGCTGGTATCCTTAAGCTTAAGGACCACTTTCCTGCTCCTTGGTGCATGGGTGCAGACTTCAATGAAATTAGGCATATATGAGAGAGGGTTGGTTGCTCCAGGAGAGACATGGGGATGAAACATTTTAATGATTTTATTGAGAAATGTGAGCTCCATGACTTACCCCTTCATGGAAGGAAATACACTTGGTGTAATGCCCAGGAATCTGAGAAATGGAGCCGCATAGACAGAGTACTTCTCAGCCCGGAATGGTTGATTAGCTTCAGAATGAAGTTATGGGGGTTGCCTAGATTAGTTTCTGATCACTGCCCTCTGTTGTTGATGTAAGATGAAAGAGATTGGGGCCCCAGACCTTTCAGGTTTCTAAATGCTTGGACTCTCCATCCAAGTTTTTCTAAGTTCTTTGTTAACATTTGGAGCATCACTACTGTTACAGGGTGGGCTGGATTCAGAATTGTTCAAAAATCAAAGCAACTAAAGCTAGAATTAAAAATATGGAACATTGAGGTGTTTGGAAATGTCTCATCCAAACTCAAGGCTTTAGAGGAGGAATTGCATGCATTAGTTAGGTTAGCAGAAGAAAGAATTCTGGTTGATTCTGAGAGGACAATAAGAAGGGTGGTCAGAGATGAAATGTGGAAATTGCACAGAATGGTGGAGTGGATTTGGCACCAAAAATCCAGATTGAACTGGACTCTAAATGGGGACAAGAATACTAGATTTTTCCATGTTTTTGCTAATACCATACAGAGTAGGAACATAATCAGCTCTATTGTAGTTAATGGGGTGTCTTATGAGGATCCTAGTATGGTTAAATTAGAGGTCTATCAGCATTTCAAGAAGCTGTTTGCTGAGGATTGGGTCAAAAGACCTGTCTTGGGAGGGTCATTCAAGACCATTGAGGCAGACTATGTTTCTCATCACCTTGTTTCAGAATTCAGTGAAGCTGAGGTGTTGGCTGCAATTAAGGATTATAATAATAACAAAGCTCCAGGCCCCGATGGTTTCAATCTGCTGTGTTATCAGAAATTTTGGAAGATTATGAAGCCTGAGTGTCACGACCCCAAACCGCCCCTAGTAGTTCGGTGCCGTGATGGCCAGTAATCCGAGATTACCGAAGGCCAACTTTCAAAAGTTTAACACGATCAGAGTATAATAAACAGGGCTCGCAAATGCGGAAGAAATAAATCAAAATACAAGTGGTCCATAAGAGCAGTGCATAAGTCAAAGGTAATGGCATACATCTTTACATAACTTTACAAATCGGATACAACAAAGTAAAATACGTATTACATCTTGATCAAAAGGCTTCTTGAGCCGACATATACAAAATGCAGTGAATACAAGCCAAGAAGCATGATTTTCAAGATTCGCCGACCTAGGCAAATGACATTGCCGACGTGAATACAAAATAAAACCGACATAATCATGGATCCAAACAAGCTTTCAAAAACACATTCTAGGCGTCGCCGACGTCCTGCTCATCACCTACATATATATAGAGAGGGTGAGCTTGGATACTCAGTGAATGGTACAAATAATAAAGGTTTTGCATGAATATAGCCGAAGTCTTTCAAAACAAAACATGCCAAAACCATACGAATATTAGCCGAGATCCTTTCAAAGCAAAACACATCAAACTTTATCAAAATAGGGGATGAACCGTATTCATCTATCGAAGTCTTACAAGTCTCAAGGGATGCTTACTGACATCGGCAAAACACAAATCAAGCTTTCCGAACAAACAAATCCACGCGGTAAACCGTCAGTGGCAAAACAAAGACTGCACGATCCGTAATCGATTAGCCAAAGGTACTACGAAAGTTTATAGTCCTCCAGCACAAGGGACTTTCAAAACAAGATCCAGTAGGACTTGTGTTAGTTAGGCCCGTAGCCCGCTTTAACATGATGGGACTTGTGTTACTTAGGCCCGTAGCCCGCTTTAACACAGTAGTCTTTCCAGAGAGACCGTATCCTTTTTATACTTAGTGCTGCGAAAGTTAGAGTCCTCCAGCACAAGGGACTTTTCAAGGATGACATCAAAACAAACTTATACTTGATACATCAAACAGAGCTATTCATTCATGCTTAACAAATACTTTCGTCAAAACAAAGCAAAGCAAGATCTATCAAAACAGTATAACATAGCTTTATTAGAATACCACTCACATAGATCTTCTCGGTGTAGGCTCAAGCAAAGATCAAGGACCTACAATCACATGGCAGTCACATTCTCAAATCAAGCTTTATGATGCACAAATGACCTCGGCATTCTCACCAGGTCCAAGTCAATAGCAAAGACAGCATGTTGGGAGTTCAAACACTGCTCCCGTCTATGAAAACACACTGGGTACCAACCAGGTCTTTGCCGAGGTCCCACACTTCCTTGCCGAGTGTGTTCCCGTTGGCCTCATTCAAAAGTGAAGTCGGAAAACCAGGGTTTCCTTTGAATTGAGAACATGAAAGGAAGATGAATGCAAGATCATAACTTGTTACAAAAATCTGAGATTTCATGCCATGAGTTCAAAACATGGACCTGGGTACCCGTACAAGAAGGTCATGCAAGAACAAACACAAAACATGGTTCTTGTTTCAAACTTTCGGATCAAAACGAGACTTTTCTTCAAGAACACATGAATACTTTTTTTCTCTTCCAAAACCAACTTCAAATTGATGCATGACATGCAAAACAAATCTGATCATGTAATGCAGCTAGATGATCAATAACAATAACCAAAGTAGATCAAGATTCTAATCTCAAAACTCGAATCCAACGGTTCAAACCTCGAAGATCAAGCTTGGAAGATCTATTCTCACTCAAGAACTTCTCCTCCTTTCTCTAGAGCTTCTCTCTCTAAAGGCAAAGATTTGAGACAAAATGATTTGTTTCTAGGTCTGCCGGCTGTCTTAATAATCAGCTCGGACATGTGGCGCTATCGGGTTGGCTCAGCTCAAAAGGTGATTGATTGATAAGACAAGTCTATGACAAAGCGTATGCGGCAAGCTAGGGCAAGACACATCGGCAAGTAATAACATCGGCTGAAGTCAAAGCTTCGGTAATAGGGTAACAAAGACATCGGCTAGGGAGGATGACGCTTGACTAAGCTGTGCCACACCTTGGCCGGGGTGTGCCACACCTTGGTCTAGGCCATACCTGCCCAAGGACAAAGATCACTAAGTGCAAATCATCTTGGCAAACATGCCCGGGGTGAAGATGAGGGTCGAACAAGTGGTTCCAAGGCAGCTCTAGGTACAAAGGTTCAAAGGTGAACTAAGCTCAAGATGACCTCGGCTACACACCAAGCAAGGAACAAAATCATGCAAGCAATACTTAAACAAAACAAGGCAAGGCAAGACTTGCAAAACAACATAACAAAACGAGATCACGCATGAATGTATGCAAGTATGACAAGAGAAAGGTGAGGGTTGCTACACTGAGATCATGCAATTTTTTGCAGACTTCCACACAAATAGCAAACTGTCATATGGCATCAATAGTGCTTTCATTAGTTTAATTCCTAAGTTGGAAAATCCCTCCTATCTGATTACAGGCCTATTAGCCTTGTAAGCTCCCTTTACAAAATTTTGGCAAAAGTGTTAACACATAGACTAAGCCAGCTCTATCCTCAATTATTGGTGAAACTCAAACTGCTTTCATAAGTGGAAGGAACATCCTTGATGGGGTGTTCATTGCCAATGAAGTGGTGGATGGTTGGAAGAAGACCAACACGAAAGGTCTGATCTTAAAGCTAGATTTTGAAAAAGCTTTTGATTCTGTAAACTGGGAATTCTTGTTCTCTTTGCTGTCCAGTTTTGGGTTTGGGAACAAATGGATTTCTTGGATGAAAACTTGTGTGTCTACAGTCAGGATTTCCATTCTTGTGAATGGAGCTCCAACTAAGGAATTCTCATCACAAAGAAGGCTTAGGCAGGGCGATCCGCTATCACCTTTCCTATTCAATATAGTGGCTGAGGGGTTAAACATTCTTTTGGTCAGAGCAATTAATCTTGGCATTCTTAGAGGTGTTCATGTTGGGTCTAAAGATGTCCTTCTGTCTCATCTACAATTTGGAGATGATTCAATTCTCTTTTCTGAGGCAGATTGGGATCAAATGGTACTTATCAAAAGAATTCTTAGATGCTTTGCAGTACTATCTGGTCTTAGAATTAATTATCACAAAAGTGTAGTGTGTGGTGTTGGTGTGACTGATTCTTTATTGCTCTCCTTTGCACATCTTCTTAACTGTAAAGTTCACAGTTTTCCTTTGAAATTTCTAGGACTACCTCTAGGTGCCAATCCTGGTAAAAAAATCTACCCGGAAGCCTGTGCTTGACAAGATCAAATCTAAGCTTTCAGGGTGGAAGAGGAAATTGTTATCTTTTGCAGGTAGATTAACTCTAATCAAGTCTACCCTATCTAGTTTACCAGTTTACTTCCTTTCTTTATTTAAGATGCCAGAAAGTGTGGCGAGAGAATTTGAAAAGATTGAAACAGCTTTTTTATGGGGCAGTAATGATCTTAAAAGGAAAGTTCACCTAGTGAAATGGGGGGAGGTAACTAAAAGCTTTGACCAAGGGGGCCTGGGCATCAGAAGAATCAGAGATGTTAATGCTTGTCTATTGCTCAAATGGTGGTGGAAATTTGAAACTCAAGTCAACTCTCTTTGGAGGAGAGCTATATGCAACAAATACAATATTGATGAGGTTAGTTGGCATCCACCTTTAAAGTTCACTTACAAGCATTCTAGAGTTTGGAAGGGCCTGTCATCTATTGGGAATCATAGCACAAATATTTACAATTTCTATATAGATAACTGCCAAATTCAAGTGGGGGATGGAAACAGAATTAAATTTTGGCTTGACAGATGGTGTGGCAACTCTAGTCTTAAGTCTACCTTTCCCCTCCTCTTTAATCTTTCAATAGATAAAGAAGGCTCTCTCCAACAATTCATGGCAAGAAAAACCAGCCCAAACAATTGGAACTTTCCCCTTAGGAGAGTGCTTTTTACTTGGGAATTGGATGAAGAAGCTAACTTACTTGGACTCTTATCATCAGCTCCCTCTCTGTCACTTGGCAGGGCTGATCATTTTATCTGGGCTACTGCATCTGCAACTTCTGGTGTATTTTCTGTGTCCTCTCTCTACTCTGCTACTAGCTCTATTCTTGGCCCCCACTTTAAAATATGTAAGCATATTTGGAATGGGGCTGTCCCCCCTAAGGTTTCATTTTTTAGTTAGTTGGCTTGGAAAAACAGAATCAAGACAGCAGTATTTATGCACAGAATTGGAATTTTAGATGCTTCTGCTTCCTTCATCTACCCATTCTGTTGTTCTGAACCTGAATCTACTGTTCATATCTTGCTTTATGGCCCATTTTCTTGGTTGATTTGGTCGTCTATAATTAATGAGTGGGGGTTTTCTTGGTGCATACAAGGTTCAGTGGATGATCTCCTCCAATGGTGGATGGCTATCAATTTCAAGAATATTGATAGGTTAATTTGGAGAGCCATCCCCCTTATTGTTCTTTGGTCACTTTGGAAACTTAGGAACAAATGTGTTTTTGTAGAGGCTCAACCTAACTTCTCTGGTTTGAGTGAAAATATCCAAAACAGAGCAGCACTTTGGCTGAAAGCATCTATTAAGGACCTTCCCTATTCAGTTGATGATTTAACTTTCAATTGGCGTTAAATCAGAGGATGTTCTTAACTGTAGGAGGTTGTGCTCATTATGTTCAGCTAGTAGGCAGAGGAGTTTCACTGCTGGAAAACAGACTTTTAGTGGCGTTTAAAAAACGCCGCTATAAGTTCCAAAAACGCCGCAAATTCCTTTTGCGACGCTTAGCACCAAACGCCGAGGACGCGGCCGTCGCTATAGCTTTGTGACGTTTTAAAAACGTCGTAATATTAGTATAAGCGGCGTTTTCAAAACGCCGCCAAATGTCTTACTAAACACACGCTGACATCACTGACAATATTTAGCGACGTTTTGAAAAAAACGCCGTCATATCTTTTTTTAAAAATATAACCGTTAGGCAGTAGGGTTTAAGAGGCGTTTGTAGAAACGCCGTCATATACCTTTTTTTTTTTTTTTTAAATTGTGCTAATTTTTATTTGATTGAACTAAAAAAATACCTGTAATAAAGCATTAAATTCACTTTCTCATTCAATTAATATCCAATCACCATTACCCACAAAATTAACATATCCAAAATTCAAAAATCATGTTTTAACATTAACCACAAACTAACATATATCCAAAAATCATGTCTTAACATTAACCATAAACTAACATATATCCAAAAATCATGTCTTAACATTAAATTTGTAATCTTCATTGGTTTACATGCCTGCATCAAAACATAAACTGCAATCAGATTCACCAAAATAAACACAAATTAAAAAATTTGTACCCAATACTTATAAACAGTACTTGAAGAAGCACTAACAATAAGATTTTATCACATACCAAAAAGCACTAACAAGAAGATTTTTATGCATAAGTGATCACATAAATAGGGGAGAAATTTAACGGATGGAATTTAGCTGGAATTATAATTACTTTTGAGAGAAATCAGAAGAATGAAGACCAAGAGTTATCAAGAGTTACCCGATGTTAAGACATCTCAGGTAATAGCAATTTCAAATACTCAAATCTGCATACATACCCATCAATAAAATCAAAAGAGCCCTTAAATTGTTCCGGAAGATTGAGAAGAGAGAAGTCTGCAAAAGGAAATCTCCCTTGGTAGGCAATGTCATGGATGCAGAAAACAACCTGCGATCATTTAAAAGGAAATCTCCCTTGGTAGGCAATGTTATGGATGCAGAAAACAACCTGCCATCATTTGTCAGTACTAGTGTTAAATCCCAACAAATAGTCCTTGTCATTTGGCTAAAATTCTTCTGTTTTAATTTTATTCTTTGCCTGAAATTCTTAACGACGTAATTGAGCAATCTTACTCTGGCATTCTTGTAGATCCCCATAGGTTTGTACTTGGTCTTCAGATAACATGGAAGAAGAGCAGTGCGCCAATCAGTGGCAATGAAGACAACATCCTCCCCTGCATTTGTACGAGACAGATATGTTACACCATTTATAATAGAATGCAAAATAAATAGATAAATAAAGGTACAAACTTTGAGAATGGAACATACCATAAGGTCCAGAGAAATATTTATTGTTGTTTAGATTCAAAATCCTTGTGCCTCCAAAGCAGCCTGAGTTCAACATAATAAATGAATGCCAGCTATATACTATGTAAGCAATAGTGTAGAACTGCATACATGATTAGGCGTAGGCTAACAAAAATCTTGAGTAGGCAGTAAGAGGAAATAAAACAATGATATACCACAGGTGGTCATTATGTAAAACAAACAAGAACATGGATGATTGACTCGTGTTGAATGCAAAACCATGTAAATTTGGAGCACAATGCCAACCTTTTGCCTTGACAGCCCATCGACCGATTACTTCTCTAATATATAATGAGCAATGATATACAAAAAACAAAACAACTGCACTTTTTTATTTTGAATCAAGTGTTCAAAGAATGAAATCATTCATGGAATTACGGGCTTGAAACTACAAGTTGCATCAAATAACTTACTTGGCACAATATACTAAATCGAATTTGGTTGTCCTGGTAATCCCATATAGATCTTAGATCCAGTTTTACCCCAAACCTTTGAAAGTTCAGAAATTCAAGCATAAGAACTAAGATCAAGCTGACTATTACAGCTAAAGTATATATAGTTCACCCCTAAATACGAGAACAATTGATTGAGGACAGACATAAACCTTTTCCAGGAACATTGGATGATCCACAAAAACACGATCAACTCCACGTTTGTAGCAGTGGAAGAAGCGAACTGTCTCTATTCGGTCTCCAATTTTTATCTGCAATATAGAAACTTATCTTTGAAGAAACAAATCCCAAGAAACATTCACTAGACTAGTATATAGTAAAACCTAACCTTGCATTGAAATGGTTGGAATTTGGCAAAACAAGCACAGAATAAAATTTAACTGAAGAAGAACATGAGTATCCCATGCATCTTTGTACTGGTCGTAATGTGGGGAAACTATCATAACACGATGCCCATTGCCCTAGATAATGATTTGGCATAGAAATCAGATCAGTTAAAAATTCATCATCCTAAATGTTTTGCCAATTTACCACAAAACTAACCAAGAAGATGATTCAACTATAGTAGAAAATCAACAAGTATAGTAAATAAAAAAAATAGAGCTGGAGACAGATGCTTACCACCATGGCTGGTGGCAGTCCCCCAAGAACATCACCAAGCCCTCCAGTTTTGCTCCATAGACCCACCTCAGCTCCCACAAAAACAATGTTCATCCCACTTCCACATATAATGGCGCTTGATGGTCTATCATTCTCAGTTTTGGGACCATTTTTATTACTAGCATGCTTGGCGATTGCTTTCGTGTTCTTTTTCATTTGTAGCATGTCCAACTTGTTCAAAGATCTTAATCCATTGTGAGTCGTGGTTTGTCTCTTCAGCAAGTATTGCACTCATATCATCTGCAGTCCGAAAATTCATTCCCAACTCCAAAACCTGCATTTAATGATTTCCTGTAGTGGTAGTGTTGCTTCTCCACAAAGCAATAATGCCTTCATCCTTAATTGTTCGGGCAAAGCAGTCAGAAGAAATTCCTTTGTATGGTTCAGACAGCCGACCAGCTTTGATCATCTCATCCTGGTTCTGAATCAATAGCTTAACTCGCTCTATCGGAGCAGCAGCAGTCTTGGATACAGCAGCAGAAACTCCTCCCATGAGGAAGTCTATCATAAAACTACGAAAACATTTTTCTGCGGGAGCTTGTACAAAAACAGAGGATAGTGGTGATGCAAATTCTAGGCTAGTGCCTTGGAATGTTGGTGGCAGAGGACTCTGCAGACCTCCATTTACATGTGCACCAATCATATAGTGTAAACTAGTATTCCTGGAGCGCAAGTTAGGAGAAATTCGAGATAAGAAATAAGATTGCCCACGTATCTTCTGGGAAATTGATGGATGCTGTGATCCATCTGCCATATTTGCAACTCAAGGTGGCGACCTGCAACAGAAACCAACATTAATTACATGCAAGAATAAAACAAAAACAAGTATATCAAACAAAGAACACAATAAAGGTTTAAATACAAGGAACAATAGAGAAAAGGGTTTTTCCCTACCCAATCTTTTCACTACTATAAACACAGTAACCGATATTGTTTTCATGCCAATGTATTACACAATAACCGATATTGTTTTCATGGAGAACCACCAGCTTTCGGTCCAGTAGGATGCATCTGCCTGTTTCTTGCCATCCTTCCACAGCTGTTACATGGTCCTTTATCATTATTAGGAGGGGAGGGGGGGGAATCATGAAAATCATCCAAGTTAAAGCCAAATCCATAGATTTACCTGTATGGTAGGCATTTTCTGCACAAGTTTTGGAGTCCCCCACATGCATGAAAAGGAATAACAAAGTGTCAATCACCATTCCTGCAAATTTATCAATCCAGTATGGTCAAAGAAGGAAAGGTCCAACATGTTTACAACTAATTTCATCTGAGCATAATTAATTAGAAAGGAAATGTTATTTTTCCAGCATATATACTAACTAGAAATGATCCCTCTCCTCCAACAACAGGAAACTATGAGCTCTGTAAAAAGAGATTCCCTCACAGATAAAACTAATCATAACAACAACATAGCAGCAGCATTAACTACACTCCTAGAATTTACATTGAAGTGTCTACAAACATGCCAAAGGCCAAACAAAAAATAAAGAAAGACATGCCAAACACACCAGATCCTAGTGCAAGTGTTCTGTAACCACTCATGCGGAACCATAGAATGTTGCTTTGCCATTGCAAACCATTCTAATGATTATTTTGATAAAAATTCTTGAATATCACCCAAATTTCTATCAAAATGAAAATGTTGTGTCTATCTCTACCCAGTCCACCAAGCAAGTTTGCACGCAACCCATTAACCAGCATGAATTGGCTATGCAGATAAATAAATGTTTTAGGGTGCTCCTATAAGAAAATGCCATGCAACTTTTAAGACGAGGCCCTAAGATCTTTCAGAAAACTAATAATACTGTAAGCAAACAGTAGGCAACAATGAAGGGTACAATAAAAACCATATATCAAGGCAAGTTAAGTACTCTGATCCATGCATCCAAAGGTAAAGAATTAGTCTGATTGTGTCACAAGCTCCTCCAATAGTTTCATTTATAATGATATCTCTTGCAAGGTGTACCACCCACATAAGCCACTAAACACGAACTTGAATTGATTTCTTCAATTAAAATGGGCTAAAAAAATATTTGAAACTCACTGGAGTGAGCTTGTTAAAAGTGGCGCAATTAAAACGTCGTAGACAGTCATCATCATAAGAGATAGTACAAGCTATCAAATAGCTAAAATAAAATTATCAATGATTTACCTCAACGTCTTCAGGTTCAGCTGGTTTGGATGTTTTTAACTGTCCAATAGCATCTCCTTTCTTATTGACACCCGATTTTACAGCCCCTCCTTTATTACTAGCAGGCTGAGAAAACATATAAACCCAAAAATAGAACACAGAGATGCAAAAAAAATGTCATCTAACACAATATGCATAAAACAGGACATGCTAAGAAAAAAATTATAAGAAAATACTCACAACAGCCTGAACAGGTTTCTTCCCACTAAGCATGCTTACTGCCGATTTTTTGACAAATGATCCTTCATAATCCTGCAAAAAGATTAACGTGTACATCATATTGAGAAGCTAGATAAACATGTCGAAATGACTCCTTGGAGGCCTAAATTCATAAGATTTAAATTTCACATGCATTTATTCAAATATTAAATTGATTACTATGCCATGCTTTATTTTACCATCATGAAAATAGAATTGATGATACTACATGATGAAGATTTATAATCCATGAGATGAATCAAAAACCAAGGCATAGATCAAGGAAATGACACGAAGCACGAACTTTAAGGGTCTAGCAACTGAATATTGAGCCTAAGGCTTGCAACACCATGAGACATAAAATTTGCATTAAGCTTTGATTCTGTCTTCTCTCATATATAGCACTAATAGCACATTATATTTCTTTTCCCAAAAAAGAGACAAATTTTACTATGAAAACCAAAGGAATCTACCTTGACCATGGATAATAGTTCAGTTCAAGGCAACTCTGGCATCATGGTTAATAAATCAGGATATGAGAATGGTGAGAGAGTCTAGTAGATTGAATCGTATCGGATCAAGAATCATAAGATTATACTTTTATAACAATGAAAAAAGTTAAAAATACCAACAAGGATGATGCATAATAAAGATGAGGTGAAAAATCACCAACCCAAAGATCCTAACTGCAATCCTACAAGACCCTACTTACAATCCAGCTATAATATACCAATTTTAAAAGGCAAGAATAAACTCACTGCTGCAGAAGAAATGCTTCCACTAGAAGTTTGAACTGTAACTGGCATATCATGATTATTATCAGCAAAGAGAAAACCTCAAAGAATGTATCATTTTTTCAGGAGAAAAATTGTAACAAATTTAAAACAATAAAAAAATTCAAACCTGAGATTAAACCAACTGAACCAGCTCCAGAACCCCCAATCATTTCTGAAAGCTTCTTTTGTCGAAGCCATCTGAATCAGAAAAGACGATGAAACGATGAGATCAATTTGAAACACTTAAAATTAGTAAAAAAAAAATCAAGTAGTGATATTCGAGAGAAGTAGAACTTTGCTGAGTCTAAATTCGAATCGGTAATCGATGTAAAAAAACAAGAGTAAGAACACAAAAACAAACCTCAAAAAAGTAATGAAGTCGTGTTCAGATCTAGAAGCAAAACAACCAAAAATGGAAAACCAACCTTGCCTTTCAAATAAAATTGATAATTCAAACAAAAACGAGAACAAATCACTATTTTATTCGCAGATCTATAGATACACATACTTATGAGGCAGAGAGAGTGAGAGATGCACCACATCTACCAAAAAAAATTGAAGGAAATGATAGATCTGTTGTGAACGAAGCTTCAGATCTCAAATCGGCCAAAAAAAAAAAAAATATGAAGAAGATGAAGAATCAAACCCATAGACTTCATGATCTGTGTGTGTGTGTGTGTGTGTGTGTGAAAAATGATAGATCTACCTGATTGAAGCTTAACATATCATATGTTCGATAGATCTACCGTTAACGAGTAATGATAAATCGATTTTCATGATCCATTTTCTCACTGAGATGAAATCACTGACATGAAATCGCTCTGAATCTCTGAGATGAAATCATTGAGATGAATCTCTCAATCGCTCTGATAAGGGTTTAGAGAGGATGGAGAGAGAGAGAGAGAGAGAGAGAGAGAGACAGTGAAGCTCACCTACGTTGGTGCTCGCTACCTCGATTTGAGAATGAACAAGTGGTGGAGCTTCGAAATCACTCTCACAGAGAGAGAGAGAGAGGGAGAGAGTTCTCGATTTGGGTCTTACGCGAATCTCAGATTCAAAATTAGGGTTGGATAAGAAGGGGAGACCCAGCGCGTGAGGCACAACGCATTTGGAGGCGCTTTTAAACGCCTCTTATTATAAAACGGTGTCGTTTTATTAAATAAATATGCGACGTTTTTTAAAACGTCGTTAAATATAAAAAATAGTGACGTTTAAAAATGCGTCATTAAAAAAACGCCGTCTAAACTCTTTTGTCCTGTAGTGTTTGTTATATTATTAGTGTAATTGATTCATCTGGTGGATGAAGGAGATGAGGGCAATGGCAGTAGTCTGTAGTCTGTTTTCTGGTCTTTTGCTGCTACGTATCATTGGATTGCCATCTGTGGAAGGGTAACTTGGAGCATTGGATTGCCATCATGTATGCTGTTTTGTTACCTGGGTTTTGTGCATGGAAGAGTAGCTGTTTTGCTTCAAGTGGGTCTGCTGGAAGTGTATGCTGTTTGCCATCAGTGGCTTTTGGTCTGCATCTGAGTTGGAAGTGTATGCTGCTTGGTCTGCTGCTAGGTAGCTCCCTCTGGTGCTGCTTTGCTAGAAGTGTACGCTGGTTGGTAGTGTATGCTCTTTTGTTTTGCTGGTCTGCATCTGAGTTGGATGCTGTGTTCCTTCTGGTGCTGCTATGCTTGTTTGCTGGATGTTGTGTTCTGTTATGCTTGTTTGCTGGCTGTATGGGTTGAATGTCAATGTATTAGGTGGTTGATTGGGCTATATGTTGGTTGATTGGGCTGTCAAATCTTTTTGGAGTTGCCTCTGTTTTTTTTTTTTTTTTTTTTTTCTTTTTCTTTGCTGGTTGTTGTGGCAGCATTTCATGCTTTCCTTTTGTTGGTTCCTCATCAACTGGCGCTTGGAGCTTCGTCTTAGCTCCAAACTTCTCTTTATTGATGTATCTTATCATACCTTGTATGTTTTCATCAATAAAGATTTTTTTACCGATAAAAAAAAAAAAAAAAACATATCCGGATACATTATCACTGGCGGCTCTCGAAATTTTGGTCACGTATTCAATAACTTAAATTATAATTTATATAAATAAAAACAAACCAAACCAAACCAAACCAAAAACCAAAGACCAAAAATCAAATCAAACCTTAAGTCTTATCAAATGGAGTTGGCCATAAATGAAAACAAACTCTTCTATATTTATTATTTAATCTTCGAAATCTTTTAATTTAAATTTCTCCTATCACAAACAGAAGAGAACTAAAAATTAAATATATATAGAGTTCTATCATTGTTTCAACGAGTCATACATGTCATAACTAGTTTTGATCAAGCTCGAAGGTAGTTTTTTCTCAAATTTAGTGGTCTGATTCAACATAAGTCATATTTACTGAAAGAACTATCTTTCAGTGTGTTTGGTTTTAGTTTTCTGAATTCGGTTTTTTAAAAATTGAGTTTTTTGTTTTTTATTTTTCTTATTTTTTTGTTTTTACTGAATATTTTTTAAATTTTAAGCATTTTTTTTCTTTTTTAGATGCACCTTACTTAGATGTGTCTAAATAATAAAATATTTGTGAAAAAATATTTTAAAAAATTAATAAATACACAAAAATATGAAAAATGTACTAAATTTTGTATTTTTTCAAAAATATTTTTTGGTATTTAGTGTATTTTTTAAAGATTTTTTTCACAAATATTATACTTTTTAAGGGTATTTATGTTAGGTGTATCTAAAAATTTAAAAAAAAATCTTAAAATATTAAAAAAAATTTATTGAAAATATTAAAATACGGAAAATAAAATAGTAGAATTTTTTGAAAACTAGAACCAAATAAGCTAAATATTATTTGTAATTAGTGTATCATGGAAAATATTAAAAAAAGTCATGGATATAAAGTTTTAAAATAAATTATATAATGATAAAGTAATTTTTTATACAAAATATGCGTAAAAATATATATATATATATATATATATTTTCAGTTTTTGATATGGCGGCAGTTTTTTTGGTCTTTGTACATGATGGCATACTATTACTATATAATAAAAAGGGAGACAGGTATTCAATTGAATACCTTGCCTTTGACGTGTCGCCACTTCTAAGACTTAATTTGATTAGATCGATAATACAAGAAAATAAAAGAAAAAGAAAAAAATTAATTAATTTTTTTTTAATGTTTGTTTAAATAGAGTCCTACAACCTCATATTCTTTGACCTCTTGATCTTCCTTGTGTTGTGGCTATTTTACGTTAGTTGGTTTAGTGTTTTAATTTGGTATATCGCCTTCTATTTGCATTGTGTTTGTAAAGGGGTTACACTTGCTTTGCTTGCTTATAGGTGCCAACTTGTTTGCATTCTCCCCCTTTTCTTGCCTGTTATTGGTGTATCAATATACCCCTTTTTTTCCGATCAAAAAAGAAAAAGAAAAAGAAAAAAGTAATGAAAACTAAAGTTTCTAGCACAACTCAAATTTGCTTGTAAGTTAGGCTAACAATTTCTCGCAAAATATACATGAAAATTTATTTTTTCTTACAAATCTTGACAAGGTTTATTTCGTTTTGACCATGTTTCCCTCCACATTTTCGTGTTATGTAGTGATTATACTTTTTTCCCATTATTACAAAAAAATTTCATCTAGTCAAATACATGTAAAAAAATAAATTTTCATTTTCATTTCCTTTTCCTTTTCCTTTCTTTCATTTCACTTTCTATCATTTTCATTTTCTATGATTTGTTTTTTTTCTAAACAAACGGAGCCAGTGATATGGTCATATATCAGTTGAAATAAGGCAATACGACACATATATTAGTGAATAACAACATCAAAAGTCTAAATTTACGTTACATATGAATCAATATGATGAATAATGGCTTATATTATCATCATGATTGTAACAAAATTGGGGACACTGCTGCGCAAGCTGCATAGCAGTAACTACTGCGCAACAAAACAACACAGTTTTGTTAATGTAAGGCCATCCAAAAAAATATATATATATTTGTATAGAATTTTTTTTTATCATGGAGCCTCTTGAGAACAAACCCCACTATTAAACCGCTACACTATCAA